TGTAAACTGAAAGAGATTTTACTCCTGACCTAGTGACTCATTCATAATTACAAAGTATCTCATGGTATTATAAATAGATAACCCTTGTGTCAGATTCTTTTCATGGAGTAATTTCAGTTTTGGTGGAACCCCATCTCACTATATTCACATATATCAATAGGCTGATCTAAAGTTGAACTCAACTTTATGCCTGGGTTTTTTTATCTCTGCCCTGGTTGCACTTGATTATGTTGATCCAGTTTCTCTATTGTTTCCTTCCTCTTCGTCAGGAAATCCATCGGTTTTGGTTCGACTCATTCATGATGGACAGCTGAAACTGGACAAGGTCGAGGATCACAGCCAGGAAGAGCTGAAGGCTATATTGGACGCATGTGGTGTCACGATCAGCCCTGACGCCACTAAGGTGTGTGTGTGTGTGTGTACGTGTGTGTATACGTGTGTAACGCATGTGACTTTATGCCTGTCAGATTTCTTTTCTGTTGTTAGGTAATTCATCATTGTGATCAGTTCCCAGTTTTAGTGTGGCTAACACTATTAATAAAGTAAAGTAATAAAGTTTTGGCTAATGCCTGAAGGTAGTTGAGTGAAGAGATTTGAAAATATTACCATCTCTTGTGATAAAAATGAGTCGGTCCTAATTTTTGGTAGACTGTTTGTGAAAGCAAAGCAGGTAGCTCTTCTTCCTTTCCTGAAGGGGGTGCTATGATGGCTGTTTAAAAGCCCTGGTCAATGACTAAATGCAAAATAATGATGATAAAACATTTTATTTTATACAAGTCTAATCCTCAGTAGTTGGACGAGTTTGTCGACACCGGTCTATGGCTGTTTTTCTCATAATATAAACCATAATTTTGTGCTGTTGTGATCCACAAACTCCAGTTTGAACATTTTATCACTTAATTTTCACCCCAACTGTTTAGGAAGATTCTCTCTTAACCACACGTCTCCATTTACTGCCACCATCTGACTCCACTTTCCTCTAGTAAAAAGAAACATATCACACTATATTTTCCAATGACCTACTTAGATGACTGAATGGATTTCTGGTCCATTTCATTTGTTCTCATTATTTTTATATATATATATATAAATATATATATATATATATATTAATTTATTAATTATTATTATTTTTAATCTCAGATGCACCATTTCTCTCTCTTTATTTGACAGAATGAGCTGCTGGCTTCAGTCATCGCCTTCTACACATATGTTCATAGTGGCCTGTCCACTGCACCACAGCCTCCTCAACACCACACTGCTGGGAAGCTGTCACTGGTCTGTCCACACAAGGTAAAAATGTTTGCTGTTGAACCAAGAGTTGTTCCCCTATTGGTTGGTACAAGAATCTATCTGCTTCAAACATTTAGTAAATAAACTCTTTTAAAAACTCATGTTAGACGATGTTTTTTCTGGCGTATATTTGGAGTCTCCAGTGTCCGTTCCCGTTTCCAGGTGGTTTGTGGTTCTAAGTACCTGGTGAAAGGAGAAACGGCCCGAGACCACGTGGACCTGCTGCTTTCCTCTCGCTACTGGCCACCAGTCTATGTCAATGAGTGTGCCCAACAGGTGGCGCTCTGCACAGACTTGCAGTATCCAAAGCTGGCAACACAGATGTGGGGCAGGAACCAGGGCTGCTTCTGTGACCCGTTTGAAAAGCCAGAGGTAAGTGCTGTTTCAGATTCTGCACTGCATCTTGAGTTTAAAATATAAATAACTTTCAAGGGTTCAATGTCAAATTATTAAATGCTTTTTAAATATTCAATTTCTGTGATGAACACAGCTGCCATTTCTTCACATCTTAAATCAAAAACAGCTGCTACAATGTTTTTTGATGAAGTCTGTTTATGACATAAGCAGCTTTTGAAATTTAATCTTATTCAATAATTTAATCATTTTATCAATATGTGGTGCATTTCTCTGTGGACTATATAACTCAATATTACAGTAGGCGCCTAGAAAATGGAATTAAAAGGACGTTTGACTATAAATCTAACAGTCGTTGGGTTTTTGAACAAAGCAAACACTAAAGTTATAATTTTAGGTTTCATAATAAAACTTTCACTGCCGTGTACGCAAGGTTAAACATTTTCATTTGAAGCCAAAAAAAAAAAAGATCAGACGGCGGTTTCAAACTTGAGGCCACAGGCCCAGCGCAGCCCGCTAGTTGATTTCCTGCGGCCCACCGTTTAAAGCGAAATGTTGCACTGCTGCGTGTTCTGAAAACCACACTAAGTGTAGTGGCAACTGTGAGAGAGAAGAACAGACTCAGGTGTACTCAGTACATCAGACTGGCCGACTCAGGTAAGTCCATTCCTTTACCAGAGGTATGAGTGAAGATGCCTTTACTGTCTTTGGAAAAAGGTGGAATGAGGAACCTACAAACTACTGTTGTTGCCGTTTAGCTTTGATTTAAACCTTCAGGTATTTAATTTAGTCATATGGTTAGCCTGTGTATGTAAGTGCTATTTTTTTTGGGCTAGTTTCAGATATATTCGCAAATAATTGTTAAAGTCTAAAAATGTTCTGGTAAAGTTAAAATAATACAAACATAAGATATTTTTATAAGAAGTGTTTTAATTTTTTTATCATCTGTTGAATCTGTAATCTTTTATAATTATAACAATTAAGCACTTTTTTTTCCCCGGGAGCCAGAGTTAATTCTCCTTTTATTTTTGACAGTTCGTGTCTTGCGCCGAGCTGCAGGACCAGCTCCCCACCGTTGACTTTTCTTTCGAGAACCAGCAGATCCACCCCATCACCAAATCGTCATCATGCTGGCTGGTTCGGCCACCGGTATCAGAACAGCCGGGGAACCTTCCAGCTCCAGAGCACCATTCCTTCTTCCTCTGCAGAGAACTGGAGCCCTACGTCAGCATGGTAGCAGAGCTGCAGAATGAGAAAGAAGAGAGGGAACAGGCTGGAAAAGACTGCACAGAGAAACCAGACCAGTGTCCCATGGCGACCTCTGAACCTCGGAGCCCCGTGGTTTTCAGCAACACAGCGTACTATTACCTGTACAACCGGCTGGTAGACTTCCTCAGCAGCAGGGAGATTGTGAACCAGCAGATTAACCAGGTGGTGAA